AAATTTAGTCACTAGTTGGTACCATAATTATTTGCCACGTGCCTCAAATCAAAAGTTTTCATACACTTTGTGATAGCTTGTGGAACTGCCAGTGCTTGCTAGAAAGGAGAATGGTATGTGTAGACTGCAATAAAATATATTTTAAAATGAAACTTCTTTACAGATGTTTTTTTAATGTCTGACCCAACTGCAAAATATTTTATACCACTATTTTAATTGTGACTCTTTGTTCTAGTATTTATATGACTTAATCTTCACAGAAATGGTTAATTTTTTAAAAAACCGTTACTGTCTTAAAATTTGAGGCCTTATTTTGAAACGCGAGGATAAAAAAGGAAGAGTGAAGTGTAAATAACACTTTAATGTCCAAAGGAAATACTGATTCTGGGTAGAGAATAAAAAGAACAAATCTACATTGACTTGGAATGTTTAGATGTTTTGTAGATGTGTTGGGTAAAACTGGACTTGGGCAGGTTTCTCTGTCCTCTTTTCTAAGACTTTTCTGCATTTTCAGAACAGATCAACCTTACAGGTATACAGTATATTATAATGTTGTAGTCAGTGATTTGCAAATACAATTTAGAAAATTATGAATCTTAGGAATTTGTGGATGTTAGGTATACAGTACCAAATCAAACATTTGTTTTATTGCACTGTGATATCTTTATTCGAACATAAGAATATCTTCAAGCCATCCACATAGTATTTTTGTAGAATAATTTTTGGCACAAGAAAGTGCACAGCACTATGTCACACTGATGTTGTATTGGTTTTGCACAGCCTGGTTTTTTTAGCAGGCATCCTGTGGGAGGGACCCCACGGCCTCACAGGGGAAGGACTCCTCTCCTGAGCAGCAGAAGAAAACCTCGGGTGATGAACTGACCAAAATCCCCACGCCCTGTCTCCCTGTGCTGTCAGTGGGAAGGAGGGAGGGGCTGGGGGAAAAAGGTGTTCCTTAAGGGCTTGTTTTTACTTGTCATTATCCTTGCCTCATTTTGTTAGCAAAAACCTCACTTTGTACCTCTAAGCCGAGCCTGTTTTGTCCTTGGAGTGTGTTCTCCTGGTCGTATCTCAACTCATGAACCCTTCATTAAATTTTTCTCTCTCCTCTGTCCAGCTGTAGCAGGGAGGGTGAGTGAGCAGCTTTCATGGGTGCCTGGCGTTCGGCCACTGTCAAACCATGGCAGGTGTTTATATCAGTCCTGTGGATGTCTCTGAATTCTGGAAGCTGTGAACTCTGTATGTCAG